GTATGAGGAGAGATATTGCAGAGTATGTGGCTGCTTGTTTGACTTTTCAGAAAGCAAAGGTGGAACACCAGAGGCTGGGAGGAATGCTACAACAAATGGAGATACCTGAGTGGAAGTGGGATAGCATTACCATGGATTTTGTTACCCATTTACCACGGACAGTTCGGGGGCACGATTCGATCTGGGTGATAGTGGATAGATTGACGAAGAGTGCACATTTCCTCCCTATAAATCTGAGGATATCTATGGCTAAGCTGGCACAATTATATATTCGCGAGATTGTCCAATTACATGGGGTGACATCTAGCATTATCTCAGATAGGGATCCTAGATTTACTTCACGACTCTGGCAGACTTTACAAGAGGCATTAGGTACCCGACTTAGGTTGAGTTCAGCCTATCATCCCCAGACAGATGGACAATCAGAGAGGACTATCCAGTCACTAGAAGACTTGTTGAGGTCTTGTGTGTTGGATAATCTAGGAAGTTGGATGATATTCTTCCATTAATAGAGTTCACATATAATAACAGTTATCATGCTAGTATCGGAATGACACCATATGAGGCTCTTTATTGGAGGAGGTGTCAAACACCTTTATGTTGGTATCAAGATGAGGAGAAAGTGTTGATTGGACCTGAGTTACTCCAGCAGACTACAGAGAAGGTCCGGGAGATACAGGAGAAATTGAGAGCTACTATGAGTAAACAAAAATCATATGCGGACTAAAGGAGGAGACCTTTGGAATTTGAGGGGGGAGACCATGTATTTTTAAGAATCAGACCTACTACTGGAGTAGGAAGGGCAATTAAGTCTAAGAAATTGACTCCCAAGTTTATTGGCCCATATCAGATTTTGAAGAAGGTAGGTCCAGTGGCATATCAGTTAGCGTTGCCACCTCATTTGGCAAATCTGCACAATGTATTTCATGTATCTCAGTTGAGGAAATATGTGCATGACCCCAGTCATGTCCTGGAGTTAGACGATGTGCAGATTAGAGACGATCTCTCCATTGATGTGAGACCAGTGAGGATAAAGGATTCTCAGCTGAAGCAACTTAGAAGTAGAACCATCTCAGTGGTGAAGGTAGTATGAGATCAGAAATCCGGAGACTTCCCTTGGGAGATGGAGGATCAGATGCGAGAGTCATATCCATATCTATTTCCAAGTAAGTTCATTTTCGAGGACGAAAATTTTTGTGGAGGGGAGATTGTGACGTATGCTTTTTTTTTAATATTATAATAATATTACTGTGCAAGAAAACTTCGTAACGAAGTTTTCCTCATGCACAGTAAAATTTTTCTTTTATATATGCGCGTCCAGAAAGGGGGAGGAGGCATCAACAAGTAGTTCTCCCTCTCATCTTTCTTCTTCTTTTGTCTAAATTTCAAGCAATGAGACTCTACTTGTGCAGGATCTGGTGAAACGGGAGAGAGTTTGAATTAAGTGGAAAAATTTCGGTAGAAATATAATACAAGGTAAGGGGAAGTTTAATTCATTCAATATATGAAATTGAATTGTTAGGTACTCTGTGAATACCCTGTGAATAAGGAATAGGAGTAGAGATATGAATTATTTGAATGTCTGATTTTGAAGAATTTCTGATTTTGATGGACTATTCATGGTTTGAAAGTTTTTGAAATTCTTAAAATTAAAGATAAATTATATGGTAAAATTGTTGTTTTCAACTTAAATTATATATATTTCATGTTTAATTTCGATTTGAGACTAGTTTGGTTGCTCGAAACTTAGAAATTGGAAATCTGGAAAAATCTGGTATGGTTACTGGGCGAAGGAAGAAGAAAGGGATATGGTAGGGATTTTTTTAAAAAGATCAAGGGTAAAATAATCATCTTACATCCTACTGGACATAAATGGAATTTTTGAAAATGTTCAAGGGTAAAATAGTCATTTTCGGGACATGGAAGGAATTTTTGAAAATGTCCAAGGGAAAAATATTTATTTTCGGGACATGGAAGGAATTTTTGGAAATGTCCAAGGGCAAAATAGTCATTTTTGGGACATGGAAGAAATTTTTAGAAATATCCAAGGGTAAAATAGTCATTTAGGGACATACATGGAATTTAAAAAAAAAAGATTAAGAGTAAAATAGTAATTTAATTATTTTAGAAATAATTTTGGAAATGATTTTGGAAATAATTTTGGAAATGACTTAGAATATATATATATATATATATATATATATATATATATATATATAATATAGAATGAAAGTAGTAGTTTTAAAGAATCAATAGTGTGTTGTGACGTGTGTGGGTCAGATTGAGCCTGAGGGCTGATGCCCAGAATCAGTCATGAGACGTTATATATTGGCTAGACTGAGCAGGAAGGTTAGTGCCCAGAATCAGTCAAATACTATTATTTATTGACCCAAATGAGCCGTGAGAACAGGTGGTCCAGAATTCAGTATATGTGAATGATTTTTGTTGTGTTTGAATGGTACCCAGAGTGATACAGAGTACATTAGTGTAATAACTATGTCGGAGGATTCTGAATGAGGTCTCAGACTTCACTGATTGGTCGGGTCAGGTAGACTATGAGATCAAGTGGTGAGAAGTCGATGGGGGATAGTTGGTGGCACGCTCGGAGGGGTACTCCAGTATGAGTGATGAAGGGCGCCAGTAATCCTACTCTGTGTGAAGGGTGGTCAGAATGGTACTGCGGGTGCCGATCACAATGTGTCCACAAATGATAGCCTCTGAGTTAGGGCATAGTTAGGGTATACTTTCGAAAGGTGTCTTAGTGTGTTATGATTTTGTAATTGATCATAATATATAATTATTACTTTTATATCTGTTTTATTATATCGAATGATTTAATACTTACCCCTATTTTTCCATGTGGATGAGACTGCGATGATAACTTTTATGTGGGAGCAGATCAGGAGTTGAGAGGTGGAGATGTGACTACTAGACAGTAGGGATAGTTCAGTGGGATAGCTTTGTGGAAGCTACTTTTACATGTATAATATATAAATAATTTATGTTCCTATGTTTTGAGGTTCTGTTAATGAACCGAAATTTTAGTCTATGTTACAATTATAGTAATATAATGTAAGATAGATGTCGTTATTTACTTGTTTACTATTTTGCGAAGACATCATTATAGTAGCGATTTATAGGGTCGTTACAATGATAATGATTAAAATTTAATAAAATAATTAATAATATATGAAACAAAATAATATATTTTAATGTACTCCACAATTTTAACCATCATTATGAATTTAGATTTAAATATCAATAGAAATAAAATCGAATTTAATAAAAATAATATTTTTTAATATAATAAATATATAATAAATTTATTAATAATAATATTTTTATTATAAATAAATAATAATAAAAATTATTTTTAGATTATAATAAAAATTATAAATATTAAATATATTAGATAATAAAAAATAAATAATTATTAAAATAAGATAGGAATATAATAAAATAATTATTATTTAAAATTAATATAATTACCAAATAAAAAAACTAAAATATATTATATTTTTATGAAAGAAATATATTTTAAAAAATTGACCTTAATTTTGTTTTTATCAAAATTGATTAAATTTTTTTTTAAATTTTATCGATTTTACCTCGATTTAATTAAAGTATGATTATTTAAAAATAATGTAGTAAGTTCTAGATTTCCGATTTAACCGGTTGTGCCGGTCCTATTTGCAAAACATTGGTAGTCCATGCAAGTATTTATTTTATTATAATACAAAAATATATTTCATCCATTTTAATTACTCACTTTAAACATATTTTCTTAATGATTTCTTATTCATTTCTTTTAAAACTCACCCAACTACACTACGCCACAACTTCATAGATTACTTTTCCTATGAGGTTTAATTTTTTTCTATTACAGTTTTGCTTTTAATGTTGCTTAATTCATATTTATTTTTTAACAAAATATTATATTACTTTATAGTTTTATTATTAAGAAATTGTATTTTTTTGTTATATATAAAATATTATAATATTATTTATTTGTTTTTATAGTTTTCTTGTATGATGTTATTACTATGATTATTTTAGATATATAAATAAAAATAGTTGAAATAATAAATTATTTAATTAACATTTCTTAGTCTTGATAAAACTCTTATATAAATAAATATTTATTTTTTCATATTTTCTCTCTAATCTCTTTTTAATATATTTTTATCTTAATTACTATACCACTAAACTTTAAATTTAACGAATTTCAGTTTCTAAATTTCAAAATTATACATTTTTTTTCTTTGAATTGTGTGTCAAACAAATACTAATTGCATGCTAATATGACTAATATAAAGTGATTAGTCTATATTTATTTACTTTTTTCTACTTTATTCTTTGGCAGGATGATAACAAAAATTATACCCACATATAAATTTTAATTATTCACTTATTAATTTAATTATCCACTTATTAACAGAATGAGTATGAACATTATGAGATTCATATGTGCGTATACAGCTATTCATAAGAATAGTTCAATTACGGTCCATCTCTTTGGGTCATATAACGTGTATATAAATCTATTTTTGCTTGCAGTCTGGTAATAACCCTTTCTTGTTTTAGAAAGGGTGTCATTGATGTAAATTGCTAGGTGTATAGATGAATGCAAAATAGTTTTTTTTAGATAATAAATAAACAAACTTACACTGTGATGAGTAAATAAATTAAACTTAAACAACACCTGTAAAGTTATGGCACTCTTTGACTCAATCTTGAAGGGGACTTGGATTTATGTAGACATTTGATTTAATTTAATATAAGATAGGATTGGGGAAAAGCAGCAATAAAAAATCTTTCCATTCTATTTATGTTCTTTAAAACAAATACACTCTGAATGTAAGTAGTACCATAAAATGTTGAAGATTCTACAAATTTTGGAATGAAGTACCGAAAAACAGATGTGATCGCTATCTGTACATTGTACATATCTTGAATTGGTTTTGCTCACAAAAGATATCGAAAACAACCTTCATTACCGCCTAGTTTGCAGCAGCAATACCAGCCTCCATCACAAGTTGCTCAGACAAAGCTGAGAGTCGAGCCACTCCTGCTTTTATCTCAGAGAAACAGTCAAATTTATTGGTATCTGTGATCGAATTGGGGTTTTCGTCATTACTTGGCACAGCACTGATATAGTCATCAGCTTCAACACTCAAGATAGCCTTATTCAGAAGTTCTCGACTCATTTCGGCAAGTTTTTGCAGGGCATTGGTAGCAGCTTCAACTTCAAGCTGAGCTGCCTCAAGCTGAAGTTTCTCAATAGCCAAATCTCCTAAGCTTGTCTCACCAATTTTCTCCTGTGCCAAAGCATACAACCTTTTAAGATCATTAGAATCTTCTGTCACCTCTTCCCTTACTTTTTTCAACTCTTCCTCTTTCGCATCCAATCTTGCAAGAGTCATTTTCAGCTCCTCATCTTTTATTGTTAGTGCCCTCTGCGCAGCAAGAACCTCCATCTCCTTTTCTTTTAAGTTTTCCTTGGCCAACTCAAGCTCATTCTTAAGTCTTTTTTGTAGCCATCTCATTTCATTAGCAGGTTCCTCCGATAATTGCTCAAGCAGTTGATTACCCATTGCATCTAGTAGTGGGCTCGGCGAACTGGTGCCTTCATCCTTAATGGAGGCAACCAGTTTGTTTGTGAGATCTAAAATTCTTTCTACCACTGTTTCAGCTTCGAAAGCCTTCTGGTTGGTATTATTCAAATTGCTCTGGATTATCTCCATATGCTCATCTTTCTCCCTTAGCATTCTGGTTGCTTCAATAAGCTGGGTTTCTTTGCTGTTCATAAGCATCTTAAGATCGGAGATTTCCTGGTTAACTTCCACCAGCATCTTCCTAGCATTGGAAAGCTCCAAATCTTTCTCCTCCAAGATACCCTGAAGGGCAGCTTTATCAGATTTCAAACGCTGGATTTCTAGCTTAGCATCAACGAGCTCTGACTCTTTGACCTGAAGAACAGCACTTATTTCTCTAAATTCAGCACTTTTTTTCTCCAGTTCCCGTTGAAGCAAATCCATTTCTGTGACTGCCTGTGCTAAAGAAGTTCTCTCTTTCTTCAGCTGCTCCTCTAACTCACTAATAAGCTCCTTTTCCATCTTCAGATCCCGTTCAAGCTCTTTGTTATGTACTTCGGCAACCCTGAGTTTTGTTCTTTCACTCTCCACTTCTATCTGTGCATCCTTTAAATTTTCCATGTATGACATGACACTTGCCCTCTGCTGTGAAAGCTCAGACAGCTGTTGTTCTAACAACCGCTCTTGCTCTTCCATTTTGCTTCTAGAAGATGCCAACGCTTGCTGAGACGAAACCAATTCCAACCTCACATCATTGAGAAGCTTCTTCACCCTTCTGAAATCCTCCAAAGTCTCATTACTCTCCGCGGCATGCCTCGCAGCATCCTCTCCCAGCCTCTTCAGCTCCTCCTGCGCCAACAACCAATCCATCGCCTGCTTCTCCAAATTGGCCTCGGCAACCTTCAGCTTCTCCCTCTCAACCTCCCTCTGATCCACAAAGACCTCAATCTCCTCCTCTTTCTCTTGAACCGCCTTCTTCAGCTCCTCAAGCTCAGCCCTTTGTTTCTTCATAACCTCATTTGCTTCATCGAGAACCTTCTCCCTCTCTCTAAGCTCAGAGTCAAGAACCGCAGCCTCCTGACTCTTCACCTCCATTTCAACCCTCATTTTATCCACTTCCCCCTCTTTCAACCTTAGAGCAGACCGGACCGCATCAATCTCTCGATCCCGATCTCTAACCGTAAGCTTCAGCTCCTCCACCTGGCTCGCCTGAGCAACCAGTTGAACAGTAGTTTCCTTCAACTCCTCCTGGAGCTTCTCATACTTAACCTTAGCAGCCTGAATCTCACTCTCTTGCCGCTCCAACTCCTCCTTCGTGTGCTTCAACTTACTATTCTCCAACAACACCGTCCTCTCCGCTTCCATCAAGTGATCCTCTTTCTTCTTCAGCGCCGTCAACGCCGCCTCGAGATCCGATTCCAGAATCCGAAGATCCAGTTCCTCCCCGCTGAACCGGCTCTGCGTCTGGTCGAACAACCTCTCGAACAAAACCCTAGCAGACTCCGCCGCTCCATAACTATTCAAGCTAGGCCTATTGTCGTTCAAAACCGACCAAACACTAACACTATTCCGAAAACGGCGAGATCTTCTTCCGCCGTCCGACTGGAAACCTAATCGGCTACTAGCACGCCTCCTATTGAACCTAACCGAGCAAAACAACTAAACAACAAAACCATACACAGTCACATTCAAATCCGATTCTCCAAACAAAAACTCCCTTAACAACTCTTAATTAATCGAATCACAACGAAACTATCATATCTATTAAAAATCTTATTCTCCAACACTTGATTTTAGCGAAATCAAGAGTATTAACAAAAAGAAGGAAGCTAAGCGAGAGAGAGGAGGAACCTGCGAGTGAGATGGAGAAGAGGTAGTAGAGCGAAGTGAAACGGAGAAAGCCATGGACGAGCGATGAGCTGTGCATTGCAGTTAACCGCCGATTGAAGGCTTTGCCATCAACAATCTGGCGCAAGCATGGGTAGAAGGTGCGGAGACGAACATAGTTTGGCAGTTTCACCAGAGAATAACAGAGAGAAAGCGAAGGGTTGTTTATATATGGAGGAAAATGATTGGGTCTGAGAGTGTTAATGCAAGGAGCAAATAGAAGAAGAGAAGGAAATGGTTTTTGAGATAAATGCCAAAGTTAAGCACAGCTGGGGCAGGAGCCTTGTGCTCAGACTACGGGAATCGGATAAAGAAAGAAACGAGAGAAGCTTGACGTGTCCCGGGCGGACACGGGAAGGATTCCATCTCACGCTTCTATTGGAACCACCAATAATCTTGAAAACAACAATATTATATACATGCGGTCCTAGTGCTCCTAATATTTAGCTTGCATCCAATTTATCACCAAATAATATATTTAAGTAATTCAATCATTTTATGTAATAATAAAGGGAATAAAATTAATAACAAGAAGCATTTTTTTTCATGGTGTGAAGAGGGAGTTATGAGAACGAATGGGAATGCAGGAAAAATGGTGGAAGTTGTGTGTAACACTTGTCCACGCTTTTACCAATCTTCAAGCTTTTTGGCAATTATGTCGGTTGTAGTAAGTGGCGGGTTTTATTCGGAACTGAGGAGGGACCGTAATCTACCTAACAAATCTTTTTAAGGTAATTTATAATTTTTGCACCCTTAAACATAATCAATATTTAATATATTTATTTGTATATTTATAATTTTATTTATTTTTTAATTTTATCTCTTTTCAGTTTTGTAACTCCATATAATTTATGATTTTATTTTTCTAAAACTTAATTATCATTAAATATATTTAAGTATATATCTATAATTTTATCTTTTCATTTTTTATATTCTTTTTTTTTTATATTTATTTATTATTTATTAATAATATATTATTTGACTCCTAAAATCAATAGTTAAGATTCGTATTATTGTATTATTATTGTTATTATCCAAATCCAAATTATGGTTATATTGTTGTTATCGTGAAGAAGGAGTATCAATCAAGTTCACAAAAAGAAATAAAGGAGACATGGACTCGTGGTCCCCCTACCACCCGTGAGGTCCATGCATGACCATGTACACTTGTGTGGGTGAGGTTTTATATTAAGAGCTTTCATGTTTAACTTTTCAAAAATTATTTTTAAGTTATATACACACATTTTATGGAAAAAACCTTCTCACAAAATGCAATTCAGGATTTTATTAAAATAGCTACTTACATTTTAGAGCATCCTAAACCCTTTCACTTTCGTCCCTTATGTAATTTATTAAATAAATATTATTTGTATGTTTTTATTAAATAATTAATTAGTATGTATAATTAAAAAATATCATAATTAATTATAATAATACACAAGTCTTTTTAAATAAAAGTCATATAATTCATCATATATTATAAGACTTTTTTTGTATAGGATTCAAATATCTAAATACTTTTTTTTTATATTCAAGTCATATGATATAGTAAAAGCATATCAAGCTAGGCCTCAAATGGCAAGCAAAGTTGCAAATCCAAAATGAGGGGTGGAAAGGATGATTAATGCGCATATTTTAATCTTCTTTTTCCTCTCGTGTGGTTGTAGAAACTACGCACAGTGGAGCCATCTTTAATATAAGAATTTCATTTCCATTTCCACTACTTTTTGTTGTTCCAAACAAGCTTAGATTCCAAAGGTCCCAAACATTTCATGCTTAATAAACACGTAAAGTTTCTATAAGTAAAAATTTATTAAATTGGTCTCTATATAGCATATCTTTAATTTGGTCCTTACAATGTCATACATTAATTTGGTCTCGTATTGTTATAAGAACCAAATGGTAATCATTGTAGATTACACTAATGAATTCTGTTAAATTTTGTAAGAATGGAAAAATTGCTTTTACTAATCCATGGTGCCCATATTGTTTAGCAATTAGGAGATGTAACTAACATAATTTTAGTAATCATTGGTTTCCTTACAAAGATTTTTACATATAAAGACACATCCAATGTTTTTAGTGCAGATTGAGGAGTTTTTGTTGTTTAGTTTTGCTAATAATAAGCTTAAGAGACCAAATTATTGAGATTGACAAAAATGAAAATAATTATGTACATTAAATATTAAGTAAATATGTTTTTTAAATTTCAAATTTTTCTACATGTTACTTAAAAATTAGAGTTACATAAAGTGAATTTATCTAATTTGTGTAAATTATATATGTTTTCTTTAAAAAAGATTGGAGAGTTGGGCCTATCTTGACTCACTTTGCATCAACACAAGAATCCCCTCTAAAAAGCCCAAGTGAGACATTCTTCACAGTTCTTCTAAAGCCCACAAAAAAAAAAAAACAATCTTGACCATGCGTGAGATCGTTAGGAAGACATGATGAGTAGAAGATATTTGACTAAGAAAGAAGACATGGTTGGTTACATGGGACAAACAATTGAACAATCAACCATGTGGGTCTCAAGAAATATCTATGATTTGTTGGAAACATCTCATTTGGTCTCAACTTGGAAAATGGATCTTGAACTGAATGAACACACTTTTTCTTGAAGGCTCTTGGATTTAAGAATTTGAACCTAGTGGGTGGGATAGCCATGTATCCTAGAACAAATATATGATTGATTCATATATCCTAGAACAATTGTGGCCTTTTCTACCACTCAATGTGCACACCTTTTCCCACAGCTAGAATTTTTTATTCATAACTTAGTAGAGCTTGTACAATTTTGTAACCTTCTTTTTTCACAATGTCAAAAGCTATCAAGAATGGTGCAATACCATGACAGAAAATCAGACACAAAAGTGGAAATAACTTTTTCCATTGAGTGAAAAATGCACAAGTGTAAAGGGAACCACTTACATGCTTTCAATAAACTCATATTCTAGTTAAACTATGTTGAATCCACTTCAATTTACAGAAAAAGTAGATTTCAAAAAGTTAAATTATGTATTTTTTAAAAACCATCTCATATAAAATTTCTAATTTTTATTTTAAAATTTAAATGTAAATAATTCAAAATTATTGAAAACTCATTTATTTTTATTTCTATCTTAAAAAGGCTTTAAATAATTATAAACCAGTTGTTTTTATCCAATTGTAAGATAAATTCCTAAAAAATCTCTTAAAAAGTTAGAGATAATTTATCTATTTTTCACAATTATATTCCTTATGACTTCAACTCCTTCTCGTCACTTTCACACATGAATTTTAATATAATACCAACACTTAATTCTTAGAGAAAATTGAGATGATTATGTTTAATGAGATAAAAAAATTTATGAAATAATTTAGCTTTGTATTTATAGATATTTTCAAAATTAACTAAACATGTTTTACTCTATAAAGGTCTATATTGGTAAGGAAAACGTCAAACTAATTATTATCACAGTAATTTAAGGAGGACAGAAAGATTGTAATACTATTATACCAGTGATAAAGTAACAATTCTTAATATGTTTATATTAAAATCATATATAAATATAATAATAAGTTAATATATTTAATCATAAATTTTATAACTATTTATTTTTATATTAAATAGTATTTTTCTCAAAATATAATTTATATTTTATAATTAATAATTTAGTGACAATGTTATTATATGTTAATATATTATAATTAAATTATTATTTTCTTCTATAAAATAATTTTTTATATATATTGAAATTTTAATTGAAGTTTAAATATTTTTATTTATTTTTATTAAAAAATATTGTTTTACTAAAGATTTAGATAAATTAGATATTTATTTTAATGCTAAAAAATGCACTAGTGTTATTTAGTTAGTATGAAATTTGTTTAATATTTTCAAAAAAATAATTGAGGTGATATCATTTAACTTAGATTATTAATTATCATCTTATAAGTAACTTGAAAAATGTTTGCATGGGAATATTAGGGTTATTGCATGTGGAGTTTCCTAAGTAAAATATGAATCTATGTTAGTTTAGAATCATAATGAGGTATTCAATAAGATTGAACTTCTTATAAGTTGTTAAGACTTTAGAATTTCTTTGTAGTTTTGGTACAAGAAAGTAAGGAAAAAATTAAGAAAAACTAGTTATTTTTGTAAAGCAATAAATTTACGTTTAAATGAGAAATTCTCGTTAAAAAAAATCCTTTTAATCTTTTTGAATAAGAGAAACATAAGAAAATAAATAAATAATAAGACGACTTGATACAATATATTGATTGTTTAAGTAATGATGAAAGAATATTTAAGTGACTATGTTTTTGCTCCAATTAAAATAATTCGCTAAAATGCTTAATTATGGGTATTTGTTTTGTACGTATATATGATTATAATTATAATGCCAGATAATTCATGAGAATAAAAAAGTAAATGAAATGTGTTTCTAATTTATTATTTGATAGATGTATGAATTCTGATGTGAAATATACTCATTTTAAAAACAAGTAACTAAATAGTATTTAATATTTAATTAAAAAATTGATTTGAGATACTTGTATTTTATGAATAATTTATAATCATATAATTTAAGATAGTTAAAGTATTAATCCATGATTTTAATCATTTAACAAACCAATAGATACAACTAATCATTTAAATCCAATAAATATATAATAACAATATCACTTTATCAAAATTGAGATTATAGAATAATATAACTTTACATGTAATTCTTCAATTTAAAGTTTAAAAAATTTTCAAAATAAAATTAGGAACTTAATAATATTTTTACATAAAAGTATCAAACTGAAATTGTGTAACACCTATATAAACACATAGTTAATCGACAAGTGTGTACTTAATGTCGTATTAATTTTAGTCACATTAAAACAAGAAAATATTATTAATTATATCATCGTCTGAATCATTTTTATAACATATCCAACATATTTCGTAAATTTACAGGGATGCATAAAAAAAATTAAAATTATTTTTAATTATTTAATTGGACTAAGTTTATTTTTTACTTTTCACATTTAAAATAGTTTAACCTCTTTGATTAATATTTTTCACTTGAGAATTTAAAAAAAAATTCAAAATCATCCCATATTATTATTTAAATGGTTCATTCATATTCTAGCTTGCTAAACTGATATGATTATGGCGAATTAGTGTTATATAGGACATTATTTGTTTTAAAATTAAATTAAGAAAAGATATATAAATATATATAGGATTTTTTAATATATCAAAATTTATATTATTTTTTTTAATATTATTTATAGTAGAAGGAGGACAAATTTATAGAAAATGTAAAAACTAAAAATATATTTAAATCAATAAAAAAATAACTGTAGACATTAAATTGAAATAATGCAGTACACTGGTAGTTATTTTTTATTCTGGTAATATGTTAGGTTAGATTTTGGTGTTCCAGAAAAAGGAAAAGAATGGAATGTTATGATCTTATTCGACAAAAGAATTTGAACATTGGATGTAATCTAATCTACGGCTAGGATACAGACACCCCACTTTCGTACTTCATCCATCAGAAAGAGCGAATACAGAGAACGTGACATACTTTTTCAAAATACACTGTACTGTACGTTATTAATCATTAATTATCATATTATTATTATTATTATTACGTTGACTAATTATATTTTGTCAATAGTTTTTATTATATGATTTAAATATATTTTAATTTTGGTTTTCGTAATTCTTTTTAATTTTAGGTTTTCTATAAAATTAGTTTTTCAATATGAAAAAAATAAATGATTATTCTAAAAGATATTGTGATACAATATTCTATAATAGGTGTTAAAAATAAAAATTAATAATCTAAAATATTGGAAATATGAAAAAAAATATATTTAACAGAAATTGCAACTAAAGTTCATATAAGTTTGTCAGTACAAGAAATTAAAATTAAAAGTTGCTAATTTTACATATTTAAGTCTTGTTTTAATTCTATTTTTTTAATTTAATATTTTAAAAGAAAATAAATTTGTTAACTTGAGTAATTTATCCCCCTCGAGTATAAATAATGGTGTCTTATTAATTGTTTGAATTTATGAGTGATAAAACAAAATAATATGTTAAGAAAAGTTATACAAAGGATATTGTAATCTTAGAGATGTGATAGGAAGTGTAAAGATGATAATAACTTGAATGTAATGGTCCACATCCCTTATCTTCTTATTTATATACAACTCAAATAAAGTTGAGTGTCTCTTTTCTTAATCCCTAAAGGTGGAAAATGGTTGTTTTTAATGAAACATAATATACTTTAGTTGGGCATATGTTTTTTTTTTTCATATATATATATATATATATATATATATTTAATACTTTTGATTTTGTTTTAGAAAAAGAAAAAGAAAAGTTATGGTATAAAAGTAGTATTAGAAAGTTAACTATTTTAACTTTTGAAAAAAATGAAAAGCTAGGTTTTTTTTTAATTTTTTGTTTCTATCGTGCTGATAATATTGAACTTTTCACAAATTAATCTCTTATTTTATTGAATATTGAAATTTTAAAAAAATGACGTGGCGAAAGGTGGTAAACGAAAAAGTACATAAATATAGAAATGAATGAAAATGTGTGGTGGGGTGGGGGACGTGTGAGTCATAAGCCCCCTGCATCTGGGTTTCATGCACGTGGACTGGCCTCCCACAAACCCCGCACCACATCGCTCAGCGCGTAATCAATTTCTGTCACAATCACACTCTTCCTAACTTAAATTCAATTAATACATTCATAAAATTCATTTTAATATATAACATATGTACTTAATCTTCCATTAAGGTCAATTAACATGGATTTTAAAATTTTAATCAGTAAAACGATGAATTAAGACAGCAAAATATATATAAATGATTTTTTATCTCAATTATAAACTATGTGAAATCCATAAACATTATTATAATTTTATTTCTATTTTATTTTATATATTTTATTTTGTTAAATATTTAAGTAAATTATAGTGTTTTAAATTGAAAATTTATAGAACTGAAAATAAATCTATTTACTTTGATAAATATTTTTTTGTGTTTCACTACTAATGACTATGTGAATTGACATTTTATTTTTTATAATGAACATTAAGTATAACAAAAATAACCATTAAAACAACATGTAGTTAAATAATTTTTTTTTAAATAAATTAACCCAACAGTACAGAATATAATTATTTTAATCGTTTCATTTATGGTTGAAAAACACTCCTAACCGTCGTTAATTCAATGGAGGTAGGTGGGTTCTGTTGTAACACTTGATTTTTTTACTTAAAAGATTGAAACCTAAAATCTTACCAACAACGTTAAATTCCATATCAATTGAATCAAATATTAGCATTATCTAACTTTATTAAAGTGTAAGGTACACTTCAAAAGATAAAGTATTTCCATAATTCATACATAATAATAATAATAATAAAACTATTTTCACGTTTTCAAATTATTCATTTATTATTCTAAATTTTTTGATAATTTAAAAACTTGAAATTTATTCATATATATATATATATATATATATATATATATTTAAGTGACATGAATATTATTATTATTATTATTATTATTTGCTTAAACAGAGTAGTACAAAAATAAAGATGAGTGATTAAAAATTTAATAATTTAAAAAAAAGTATTAAAATTTTTAATTTACTATTATAGTTTCTGCCCTAAACATATTCCAGATTTCATGGGAGCAAAATGAAAATCCTTTTGGCACCAACCAACCATCTTTTTTATGTTTTTGACTTTGAATTGGTGAAGGCATTTTTGAGTCAACAAAAAGTCCCAGAAAACGACAAAGAACCCGTGTGATACACGTGCTCCAAATTCGCGTGGTCGTGCCACTCCCACAACCTTGATTAGTTCTCTTTTAACTGTGTTCTAGGTTTTGTTGGCTCAACCTCAAACAAAGCTCATAGCCCCACACATCAACCTCAAAGTCCTTCACAACACAACACAACACACAATCATAATAACACTCCCTGCAATTATATTTACTTGCACACAAAAATTGTTCCCAAAGAAAAAAGGTAACACTTATCTCATTTCTCTAACAGAGACCATGTTTGTCTTAGAAAATGGTGCGAAGAAGGGGGAAGAACAAAGGCTTCAAGCCATCTCCCAAGCCATCAGAGTGGTGCCTCACTTCCCCAAACAAGGTCTTAATTTCATCATTATAATAATACTAATGTCTAGTACCAATACTAAATGATAATAATATTGATGAATGATGATGCTTAGTTACTTACTTCCCGAAACATGGTCTTGTTTTCATTTCTGGTATATTATGCTGTTGTTATTAAATTAAATGAACCAGGAATAATGTTTCAAGATATAACAACATTGTTGTTGGATCACAAAGCGTTTAAAGACGCGGTGGACATTTTTGTTGATCGTTACAGAGACATGGATATTTCTGTTGTTGCCGGTAATCTACTATACTTTGCTCTAACTTCTTCTGCATGTACGACCTTTATAGAACTTAGAACTCAGAACCATTTTTTCATCTTTTTTATTATTATTATTGAAACACAAATAAATATTAGTACTCTAGAGTATTATGTACTTCTTTGCATGATAGAGGAAGCAATTTTTTGTGGGAAATCGATGTTCTGCATCAGCCATGTTCTTCTTCTATTTTAGTTTTCAAAAGAGTTTGTTTTTGGCCTCTTTTTTAGCGCAACTGATATATCATATAGTCTTTGTTTACCTGTTCTTGTTATCACATATCTGCATGTATGTTGGAGTTTGTAAGGGGAATGACTTTTTTTTCTGTTCCTTTAAACTTTTTGTTGGGTAAGAACTGACAGTAAGTTTGTTGTGGTTCAACTTAAGAGGTACCTAAGGTTACAGTTAAATCAAACTCAGTCAAGGTTTTAGGAATCTTGGTGACCACAATAGTGACTGCATAGTTGTCTTTGTCCGTAATTTTCCAAAATACTAATTATTGTATTGGAGTCATAATCGCAATTTAAAACCTTGCATGATAAGTCATTTTAACTTTTTAAGCAAAAGGTGCATTCATTGAATCTCTAAGTTGTGTACCTTTCATGATGGGACACTGAGTTTAACCATTCAGATGGCACTACTAAATTAAGTTATGATTATGTTTTGGCAAATCACTCTGCACTTGCATTTGCAACCCTGTGACATGTTTAATACCTGAATAATGATGATGACCCTTCTCACATAGGAGCTAATAAATGTTGGCTTTTATTGGTTTACATGCTAATGCAATTGGATTATATGAAGGGGTTGAAGCCAGGGGATTCATTTTTGGTTCCTCAATTGCGTTAGGCATTGGTGCCAAGTTTGTTCCTTTATGCAAACCTGGAAAGCTACCAGGTATATCTATGTTGTGTTGAGTATAATTAAGCGCTACTATTATTCTTAATCTGTTTTAAGTTAAAACTAGAATATACCAAACATAGTCCAAAAGAACTGAACCTGACTGAAGAGCATTTTCAGTGGATAGGAGGGTCTATTCTGAGTGGGAAGTCCTTGTCATGCATATAATTTGACTATTCATTATTACTTTAGATTCTGTTTTACTGTTTGTGCTTGTGGATTACTGGTTCATCCAAACACAATTGGCTCCAAATTTTACATTTTTTGTTTCAAGAGGAAGAACCTAAGTAAGTTCCCTAATGCCACACATATACATATTGAATCATCATTTTAGTTGGAATAGATGTCTGTGGATGTACTGTTGCTTAGCTTTACTTTTTAGTTATGAAAACAGGATATTTGATCATGTAAGTTGAAAGTAACTCCTGGGGTCAATTATTCACACAAAAAAGATTCTCAGGCTCTTTTAGCTCTACTACATGTTCCTGTGCACTAATTTGGTCTTATTGATGCCTAATCTTTGAGTTGATTCATGTTTAGGTGAAGTAATATCAGAAAAATATGTTCTAGAATATGGCAGTGATTGCTTGGAGATGCATGTTGGGGCTGTTCAGGCCAGTGAACGGGTCATAATTATTGATGATTTGGTGGCTACAGGTGGAACTCTGTCAGCAGCAACTAGACTTCTAGGTGATTTGCTCTTGCAGGCTTTTATGATTGGAATAACTGTTTTGTTCTATATTCTTTTCTGCAACAAAAATTCTCTTCTAAAGTGAATGTGTTTCTGTGGTGAGCAAGAAAAGATGTATTCAGCTTTAAATTCCTATGAGTGCAGATCATGATGCCCTTTAAATTAAGGGTTCATACATGCTTTTTCCCTTTTCTCTTCCTTCTTTTAATTCACTCATTTTTTTTTTTTTATTAAATTTCCTTCTGTTCTTAAAACTTGTTTTGACTCTAACCATTTTTTCCTTATAAACTAAATTAGAAATTAGAAAGCAAATTTCACCAAAGACTTACATACATATGACTGTTTTGTCACTCACACCAAGATAATGTAACCACCAGAAAGAATCATAGGATCAAATATAAACCCATATTTTTCTTTATTTTGTCCCTAAAATGCTGAGTTTCTTTTGAATTTATTTTGTAGAACGTGCTGGTGCAGAAGTGGTGGAGTGCGGTTGTGTGATTGGTGTGTCAGATCCCAAGGTAATGGCTAAATTAAATCATTGCTTTTGAAAGTTTTGCTTTGCTAATTAGTCTTAAAAAATTCCATCTTCTTGTTATTAGCAGTGTTAAGATAAATTCTTGTAAAAAAATATTATATTCATGTTAATTAGAGATACTCTTATTTTATAATAAACTGGTTTTTAAGGTTAAATGAAACTCATTAATTTTCTAATATGTTCCATGATGTCACAGAATTTTACTTTTGAAATCATGGAAGTGAAACAAACTATAGCCTTGTTTCAGGTAGGGTGCAACAAGGTGAATGGAAAGCCACTTTATATCCTTTTGGAGCCACGTGAAGTAGAAAATGATTTTTGAAGTGGAAATTGAAATTGCACACTACACATCATGAAATGGTTGCATATAAAGACCCTTTGGATATGACTAGGATTTCAAACATCCTTACCAAATGGAGGCACCATTTGGCTAATTTAGAGACCTTTCAATAGAGCCCAAATGGTATCTTAAATTATTCTCTATGGAACTTGCTTGTTCTTATCCTTAGAAGTTATGACTAATATGTATGCCTCACTTCAAGTTAATGAAAATAATATTTGATTACATTTTATTTATTTTTAACCAAGTTATATTAGTATAAAATGAAATGCTAGGGGACATTACTAGATAATGTCCATAGGTTGAAAAAAAAAATCACTTGATTTTTGTGTAACATAATGTTTTGGTGAAAAAAGATACCCCACCTAAAAAAAGTGTGCTTCAAACGTGGGAAGAGAACAAGCAGATGAAGAAAATGAAAAATTATTGCAACAAGTTTTGTGTCAACAGAGCAGATGGAGGCAAACAATCGCAGACAAATGAAGAAGGTGAAAACAAGAAAACGTCATTTTCCTTCAATAATGAATGGTGTTGGTTTCAGTATTTGACATATAATAAAGTACAAAAAAAAAATGTAGGGGCAATTAACAAATCAATGTCACAATTTATTTCACAAGAATTTTTAGAGGAGAAAAATATAATGAGAATTAGATATTAATGATTTTATAAATCATCAGACATGTCACTTGTGGTTTCACTTGTCCAACTATAACAATTTTATGCATGAAAGAATTTGGTAGATTTCTGTTTTGATATTAAGAGAATAGGTCATATATAATTTAATCTCTTAGATACTTCCTTTGTTTTTATTTATAAGATATTATTTTAGAAAATTTCTTATATCTTAACATCCATTTCTAGCTGAATGATACATTAGTTATTATATTTTAAAATACTATTAATTAGTTTATCCAAGTTAACTCAAAAAATTATGAATATTTAAGATGAATGATATAAAGTTTCTTTAGATTTGGAAATGAAATATAAGTACTTATAGCACCTTCAATAAGTATTATTTATTGAAATAGGTAAAATACTATTTTTTTTAAATATTTTTTAATAAAACAAAGTAGATCACTAAATAACTTTCAAAGAATTATTTTAAAGAAAGGTTTAAAAGAGTTGTTTAAAAAAATAAAAATATTATATTAATATATATATATATATATATATATATATATCCCATTCATATAAGTTATTTAAAATTAAAGAAATTACTAACAAGTGTTTAATCCTTTTTATTTTATTCTCATGTATTATTTATATGAATATTTAGAGTAAAATATTGTTGTTTATTTACATTGAAATTCATAATATATATATATATCATAATTTCTATTTGACTTTTTATTTTAAATAATAATAATAATAAAATGTATTTGTAATTAATAAGGAAAGAAGTCATTAAAGGGACTTTATCATCTCAATATAAACTATTTGTTTCATTTTGCAAAACAGGAGTCATTTACTGTTGTAGGCTCCCATGATGTTTTTTTTTTTTTAAATGATGATGATTTTTAAAATAGTTTTAAAATAATAGTTCTTAAAAAATGAAACCAATCATATCGTTCTTCACAAGAAAATATTCCACCAGAGAAATTCCTGCAGACTCCCTTGGACTCCTCCCAAAATGGGCATATCTCCTGCAAAGAAATTTCTTCCCCGAACATAAATCTATCCGTACGCAAATATCTTGGTACGTTGGATTCAAATCCATAAATATAGTAAATATTCTCAATCTTCACAAGAAAAAAAAAATACCAAAGCATGCGATATCACTAGAGCTGATATCAATCAATGGTTAAAAACTCACAACACATATTGTATCTTGATCCATTGCTTACTTCATTTCGCTCCTACCCTACCATTTTTCTTTAAAGTTGAGGAACCAAGTAAAGAAATTTGTGTTCATTTTGCACAGCATTGGTGGAGAATATGTACAGAGCAAATCATTTGCAGGTTATGTACGATGTCAACATTCAGAGTCAGCCCTGATGGCATTCATGTACAATTAGTACCTACCATTTCATATCATTTTCAAAGTAAACTGTATTGATTTCGAAACACTAAACAAAAGCAAAATCTACCGGCTATTGGATGTGTTACCAATTCCCTTCAAAATCATGACAGCAACTGCAGGAATCCATGTTGTGTGCCTTGTTTTGTAGCACTGGAAGATCTCATTGTGGTAGTAGTAGTAGTTGAAGCAGAGGTGGGATTTTGATTTTGACCAGCAAGATATTGACTTTCAATTTCTACTGCATTGACCTTGTTGTTCCTCCTCACTTTCTTTCCTACTAGTATGCCAAATTTGAAAGCAGTGAATATACCAAATGCAATTAGAACTGGTCTAACTGCCCAGTGATGATCCTCTACATGTTGATACTTTTCTATGATCCCGGGACAAGTCCTGAACTCAACCACTTCAACCTCAGAGGGATCAGCTAAGTAGGTGTTTGGTTCATTGCCAAAAGGAAGCATCCCTGGGAACTTGACAACCAAACCTCCATTTGGAAGAATCCATGAGATCCTACCAGCAGCCCAGGCACCTCCCCTTTTGCGACGCCACTCAAATCGAGGACTTGAAACGTTGTTTTTGTGCCTGACAAACTGGCCAACAAAGTAAGTTTTCACCTTTTCTAGTTCAGAAGAGTTTCCCTCCCAGAGAGTTTGCAGCCCAATAAATCCAACAGATACTCTACCATCACGATTGATGGAGTGTAGAATGCCCACAGGTGAGTGCTTCTCGTTTTCATCCCTCAAGTGTACCCAATCACCAGCTACCAAGCCATATGTGACACGTTCAAGGGATGATACATGAATTCTAATAGGGTCGTCATTTCCATGGACCCTCACAAGTGCGAACCTGTGATCTGTGTTACAGTCTAAACTAACAACAGTTCCTCCTGGGATGTCCATGTTTTGAAGTCTGCTTGAATTGGGAAGCTTTCTGGTTCGAACCATGTCACCCACCTGAAGATGATCCTTTGAGAGGAACCACTCTGTGTATCCAGAGCTACCTGATTTTGGATTGACTTTCACATTTCCTAGATATCTCCATTCCCCATCATTGGCCAGCTCATTCAGAGCACTGCAAGGCAGGATGGTTAACAACAGAGTAAATTTCAAAAGATACGTAGAAATTTACTAAAAAGATAACCGTGCTTAACTACAAACAATTCCATGTGTGGAAACATTATTGTTTTAGTTCTTTCAGCTATTGTGGATCAGAGGTGACTTAAAAAAAAGAACCATCAAGCCTTCATATGTGACAAGCTAGCTACAATAGATAAGCTTGCTAAATGCTGTGCATAGATGCTTCTAGTCAATTGCATATTTCACCATGTTATAAAATGGTGTCCATATGTAATTGATTTAAGGCATTTAAAAATAGCGAAATGTAATATAGATTTTCATAAATATACCGAAAAGGGTTACCTCTTCTGAGCATTGAAAATGTATAAAAGCTAACTATGCACCATTGTATCCCACATTTCTTCTTTCTAGCACGAGACAACCCACTATTTGAGAATCCCCATGGGACCATTGCAATTCTGATATGGTGAATCATCGTATATTTGTGGACAAATTTCATCCTTATGTGAATAATAAATTCATATAATTTGATAGTCATATCAAAATCATTCCAAAAAGGTGTACATCAAGGTTGCAGCTTCGGGAGAAATAAAATCATCAGTGTAAAATATGTTACATAAGGGTACTAATACACCTACTTGTTTTTTTGGAGTATGATACGTGCTGGTACAGAATGTATAGACTAGAAGAAAGAAAGTTAGGGAATTTTATTGAGTATACTCTTCTGATTCTTGATCAATAGTTATCCAGTACCAGGAAGAGCACGAATGATGTACAGTGGTCTCTTCTCAAGGAATTTGAAAGTCTGGTCTCTCACCCAAAACTAACTGAACACCAAACTGAATTCACTTACATTGTCTTCTCGATTTTTATCCTACCTCTGGAATTGCAGTTAGAGAGCTAAGCAACAAACTACTTCAACTAACAGGGCCCAACAAATAGATGCCAGCCACTTGATTCTTTGAGCCATTTTTGTTCCTTCTAACATATACTTTCCAACTCGGGCCCTCTTCTAATAGGATACGTTATCAAGCTACACCTTTTTCTGACCCAAAAAAAAAATATCAAGCTACACACCTTCGAGAGTATTTAGTAAATCCAAGTTGTAGTTTATTAACACAACCCAACAAATCCCATATGTACTCACATATTATCCATTATATATGACTATTGATAATCGTAGTAGCAGTTGCACAATTACAAAAGACAATTTGCACCATCATAAAGAAGTTACCCTAAAACTAGTTTCACTAGTAAAACATTTGAGGATGTTAATAAAGTTCATGGAATTCTTCAGATAAACTCAGACTAATCCTAGGAACTCTGCATAGTGCACTTTCAATGACTATAATGCCAACTTAAAAGAGGGGCAAACATGGTAATCTGTCTATGTAGACAATTAAGAATCGCAATTGAAAGCAGTGCAGCCACAAATATGTTCAAGCTCTAGACCCAAAGATATTATAATTTCTCCAACTTGGCCCTTGGTAACACTACATTTTGGAAACAAATATAGACAGAATAACATATGAAACAAGATATACAACAAAAGACCATATTATTCCCACTTGAATGCCAAGCCAACAGAAGTGTAGAATCACAACATTGGAGAGCGCAGAAGAAAAATGGTGTTCAGAAGCTTTAAAAAAATTATTGAAATTATTAAACTTGCTCTGAATACATTACATACATTCCTAGCAAACAATTCAACTTAATGCTTTCATGTAACCTCAACCTTAAGCTGTGGTACACGAGTCTGAATTCTGATCTACCAGAAAAAATGCTTTCACATTATCAAGTATGGGCTTCCAAAATGACTTCATATTGAATATTTAATAGCAACAAGTATGATGATGATGATGATGATGTTAAGGACCAGTGTGTGA